AAGCAGCAGCAAGGGCAGTTGGGGAGGGGGTAAGGGAGCCCCTGGGAAGCCACAATTGTGTTAATGTAGAAACCTGAAAAGCAATAAAAAAGGAAGTGGGAAGTTGGTCCATACAGCATCCAGCACAACAAGCCTTCAATATAAGAAACACTCAGTAAAGACAAAACTGAAAAAAGAAGTTGGGCCTTAACTAAGCAGGAAACTTTCCCCAGTCTTACTAATCAAATAATCACTACTTCTTCCCCGGAAAGCAAAAGTTTCTTCCTATCTCCCCCAGAGAGCAAAACTGTCAGCTCAAGTTCCTATTTTGTGAGTAGAAGTTCTAATTCTTTTTTTGATCCTATGAAAAGGAAAACCACTGATAATTTTTCAATTGGTATATGAAAGCAGTGTTTAAGGAAAATTAATATGGCCACGGTATGCAATTTAGGTTAGAGTGTATGCAGAATGCTGTCAGTGAATATGGCTTGAACTCAGTTAAAAGGAAATGTGAGCCATTAGGGGAGTTTTCAGTGAGAAAAAGAATAAAGGTAAATTAAAAAAGTGTAAATAAAAAAGTAATTACATAGTTCAGATTGATAGGGCTTGATGATCATTAAGATAAAAAAGGAAGAAAAATATGCCAGATTTTACACTATGATTTAAAGTCAGAAGAACTCAGGAAACATTGTTAAGTGACAGAAACTTAGATGAGAACCAAGGAGGTTGTATTAGAAAATAGAACCTTTTTTGGTGAGATAATATTTTTCCTTCACACTGTCTGATACAAAGGAGGAACAGCAGTTAGTTTGTTATCTTCTTCCTCTCAAAGAAAGATGGAAGACACATACCCAGAGATATCAGGATATGTGGCTGGTGTGAACTTTTCTAAAGCACTGCACTTGGCCTGGCCATGTTCCTGCCCTAAGAGCTGGCGGTGGGTAGGGGTTAGGGACAGCTAAACGACAGAAATTGGTGAAAGAAGACACAGAAACACCAAAGCCACCGCCCTGCTACCCAGTGGGATCAAGCCTGTAATTGGTATTTATTACATAGAGCATTTCCGTGTCTGCAACGTAATCACTATTACTTCAACCTCTACACATATCAACCCTGCCTAACTCTAGTTAGGGAAGAAGAGAATAATGCAGCTCACAAGAAAAGAGGGATAAGGACAAGTGTTTAAAAGGTTTCGCAAAGGCAGTTGTCAAATTTTCCAGATGATTATCTGGTGGACTTAGTAAAAATGAATACTAGTAGGGAGATGATCTATGCTGGGTGGGTAAAGGAATGTGAGTACCGAATACACCCTGGTTGCCACATACTATAGAACTGTTTTATTTGAGGGTTTTTTTTTTAAGTCTCAAATTCAGTATAGCTGTTGCGTTTTTCTCAGTGTTCATTATCACTATGTGTAATTCAAATTTTCTAAATAAAACAAACAGGAAAAGATGCTTACCACATTACAAGTGCTTAAACTCAAAAAAACAAGGTGTGTGGATTCATAGCCTTGAGTTACTATCTGGACCAGGTGTTAAATTCTGTCAACTTCAAAAGCCACCTGTACTTGCAAATCTTGGCCCACGATGGACTACGTTTCCCAGGAGCTCACGCCAAATGAATTTTATAAAGTGCATTGTGGGAATTGTAGTCTTAGATGAGTCTTTTCCGCCAGCCTTTGACTCAAGCTCTGATTCCGGGATGCTTGAGATCCTGGGCTACCAATTAGCTGGGGCCATGTCGGTGAGACCGTGGTCCAACCGGGAAAGCGACTGTGGCAGCGTCGCACGATGATTTGCCAATGGGCGACCCCAGGGCGGGGCAAAGAGGCAGGCAGGGCGACCACGGCAATTGGGCGAGGATCCCGCGGCGGCGAGCGGGGATTGGCTGTGCGCTGGGTCAAGGAGGCCTGGGAAGGGGCGGAGGAAGGAGACCCGAGCAGGAAGAGCAGCCGCGAGGCAGCGGCGGCTGAGTCGGTGGTGGCAGAGGCGAAGGCGACAGGTCTGTGGGTTGGCAGCGGCCGCGAGAGCAGGATGCGGGTCCGGATTGGCCTGACGCTGCTGCTCTGTGCGGTGCTGCTGGGCTCGGCCTTGGCGACCTCGGGTCAGTATCCGCCCCCTCCGACCGAAGGCCCGGAGCCACCGCCCCCTCGGCCTCCATGGGTGGGCAGGGCCGTGGAGGTTCCAGGCTGTGCACCCCGCTTCCTTGAGTCGCATCTCGCATTGGGGTGTCTCTCGCTGTTTGGGCTTCGGTTGGCCTGGGCCGAAAGGGGAGTTTAGGGAGTTGGAGGGGGGAAGAAAAGAAGGGACGATCCCCCTGCCCACACCTCTCTCCTACCTAACTTTCTGCTTCTGCTACTCCTCACAAGTGAGGAATTGACTTTATAGGAACGAATACCCACAACTAGCTTAGACGCACAGTGACACATAAGCCGCAGCGGAGCTTTCTCGACCTTCATGTAGATTATATGCAACAAGGGATCTGAAACCCTGGGTTTGAGATTTGGAAATTAAGTAGTTGACACACCCGGAGCTGTCACTTCAGGCAGAGCAAGGGTCCTTCAATACCAGGATGTGACAGTGGTTTGTTTGGTTTCTTAACAACTGAGATAGTCCTTGCTCTATTTGTTTAAAAACGAAAACTTTAATCAAGATTTTAGCCACTCCCTGCCTCTTTTTAAAAACCTTCCTGAGAAAGTGGTGACCTCTGTCACAGTTTCTTAGTTGCCCCACTTTTGTTGATTTTTGAGGAGAGCTTAGTCTTTATAAAATGAATAGCAAATAGTTTATATGTTTTATATATATATGGAAATTGATGTGTTTCTGAATTGATTTTCCAATTAGCTGATTTATACTCTGGTTCTGAAAATGATTTTTTTTCTTTTTTAATATTTTAATCTGCCCACGTCTAAAATCTTCTATTTTGGAAGTGTTGACAAAAAATATTTAGGCTGTCTAAATGTTGATAAAGAAAAATTAGTATAGTAATGCTTTGGAATTGTAATTAGTTTCACTTGACAAGACAGCTGTTCTGTGGCTTTAAATTTTTTTGGAACAAAGCAGAGTATAAATGTCAACTCTTTTTTTTTTCCAACAGAAAATTCCCCAGATGGTTATTTGAATCCCCAAATTATCTGCCCTACTTGTAAATCAATGCCATAACATCATTTTACTTCTAAAATAAGTGGCCTAAACCTAAGATTCTATGATGATGTGGTTTGAGATGCTATTTGAGAAGCAACAAGCATATGCTAATTACTTTGCTGCCAACATCATGCTTTCAGGTCCATTGCTCCCCCCTCTGTCCGTTTGTTTTGATGGTTTGCATTTATGACCCAATCTTTGAAGGCTATACATAACTCTCGAACTTCTAGCAGTTATTTGGTCAAAAGAAGTATGAATTGAAGGTGTTAAGTTTAATTGGTAGAGTAAATGGTGGATCATGGACCCCCTGCCTCAGAATTCCATTTATGGTTTGTTAAAAATTCAGTTCTAGGCTCGGTGCCTGTGGCTCAAGTGGCTAAGGTGCGAGCCACATACACCTAAGGTGGGGGTTCGAATCCAGCCCAGGCCCGCCAAACAACAATAACGACTGCAACCAAAAAATAGCCAGGCATTGTGGCGGGCGCCTGTGGTCCCAGCTACTTGGGAGGCAGAGGCAGGAGACTCCCTTGAGCCCAGGAGTTGGAGGTTGCTGTGAGCTGTGATGCGCCACAGCGCTCTACCCAGGGGACAGCTTGAGGCTGTGTCTCAAAAAAAATTCAGTTTTAGGTCAGGTATCTGCCTAAGTGATTCTTCACACCATAGTTTGAGAACTTCAGCCATTAAAGAACCTGGTGTATATCCCTCTGAATTGAATTTGCAAAGTTTAAAGGAAAAGCATGTTAAATTTTCCTACTTTAATCTTTCTTTAATTATATTTCATATACTAAGAACTCCGTGTCAGTGGAGGTGATAGTTGAAAATCAACAGTTGGGATTCTCAGGGTATTATAATAAAAGACTACTAATACTGAAATTTTAAATCTTTGGGTTGTACTTATGTAAGTAAAGGACTGTGTTCAAGAAATGTCTGCTGTGATTTCCATCACAGTTAAATTTGTGCCTAAATATTTCTCTGGTAAGGGCAAAAGCCTTACTAAGCCAGAACTAAAACAATATAGATACACAAAAGAATAATAAAGGCAGTACTGTGCTCACATGAAGTTCAAATATCAAAAAATGCTTGTGTGAGATAAAGTTTTATAAATTAAGTACCAGATTTTCACTTGCCTTATCATTTATTAGAGTGCTTATGTGTGTAGGATTTCAGTCTCATTTTAAAAGTTTAGATTTAAAGTTTGGCTCAGGTATAAAAATCAAGTTTTTGGTGATAATTTTGTGTTTAAATGTTAGCTGTTACCCAGGGCAAGTTGTGTCTGATATCAGATAGAAAATGGTCAGCCAATAAAGAGACTCTTGATCTGGTGACTGTTAGTAGCTGTTATCTAATATCTTGTTTTAGAGGCATATAAAAGTATGGTACAGTCATGTGGCACATAAAATTTTGGTCAAGGACAGACCACATGTAAGACAGTCCCATAAGATTATAGTGAAATTGAAAAAGTCCTGTCACCTAGTGACATTTTAACTGTCCTAATGTTGTAGTGCAGTTACATTTTTAAAGTAGATTTAGTGTAGCATAAGTGTACAGTGTTTATAAAGTACAATAGTGTACGGTAATGTCCTAGGCCTTCTATTCATTTACCACTCACTGACTCACATAGAGCAGCTTCTAGTCTCACAAACCCCATTTATGGTAAGTGCTCTGTACAACTGTCCCCTTTTTTATCTTGTATACTATATTTTTACTGTACCCTTTCTAGCTTTAGATATGTTTAGATACACAAATACTTACTGCTGTGTTACAGTTGCCAGTAATATTCAGTGCAGTAACATGCTGAATGTGCTGGTAGCCTAGGAACAATACCTTGAAGCCCCGGTATGTAGTAGGCTATACCACCTAGATTTGTGTAAGTACCCTCCATGAAGTTCACATGACAACATCTTTCTCAGAAATATATCCCTCCTGTTAAGGGACACAACTGTACTTACATTAGAAATGTTTTCCCTATGAATAAATAAACTTAAAGGAGAAGATTAAAAGATAATTTTTCATTTTCTCAAGATAATAGTGAAATGGCTATACTATATTTCACTTAAAAATACATACTTTCTTATTTTTGGCAGGAAGAGGTAAATGTTTGAACCTCTTTTTTCTTTGTGCCAAACAATATTAGTCTCTTAAATTAGGTCCACTCCCAGGTATTTCAGGTAATAGTACAATTAATAAAATAAATTTAGAGAATTTATTTATTAGATTGCAGAGGATTTTTAATTTCACTGTTTTAGTTGTTCCTTAAAACATCATTGGGAGGCCACAAGACAGGTGGTATCATCCCCTTTTGACAGATTGAGAAATGAAGGCTGAGCAAGCTTTTGATACTGAACTGTGTGTCAGAATTGATAGGTGAGGAACCCAGTTCTCCAACCGAGCTCTCTAGGCCTCAGAGTTGGAGAAATTTAGAATCAAGACTATCTTAGGTTCTGCACATAGTGCCTAACTAGAAGACAGGCTGTCTTATCTCTTTTCACCACTCTTTAGACTTTCTGTGTTTGAAGACATTATTCTGTTTAATTTACATCACAGGAGGTAAAATGGATTTGTAATGATCACTTTCCCTGAAAGAATATCCCTGGTACTTTGCAGCTTTGTTAGTTGATATTAAAATAAAAAGACAAGCACAGTGGCTCATGCCTGTAATCCTAGCACTCTGGGAGGCTGAGGTGGGTGGAGTGCTTGAGCTCAGGAGTTTGAGACCTCCTTAAGCAAGAGCGAGACTCTGTAGTCCCAGCTACTCAGAGGCTGAGGCAAGAGGATCATCTCTTGAGCCCAAGAGTTTGAGGTTGCTGTGAGCTGTGATGCCATGGCACTATACCCAGGGTGAATAAAGTGAGACTGTATCAGAAAAAAAAAAATTTGATTTTCAAAGGAAGGTATACAATAAATAAAGTAGTGTGAACCATTATATTTTGGATATGATACTGATGAGTGAGAAATCCATAACTTTATTGAATCCCTTTGTAGGTTTTTCTGTGTTCTGATAAAAGCATTACCATTTGCCTTATTTATGTATAACTTTAATGTTTACCTGAAAACTAAACGTCAGAACTTTCTTAGGTCATAAGCAACTTTTCAACAAGTGTTATATGAAGAGAAAATAGCATGTGCTTTAAGACTATACCATCTGGAGTAGACTTTTCCAGTTTAGTAAGTGAAAAAGAATTCTCTTATTTGCCAGTAATACTAGTTTGTGAAGAGAGAAAAGCATGATGCAATTTACATGAAATAATCCTGAGGTCACAAATCATGTCTCTTAGAGTTCAAAACGCATTTTGCTACTCTAATGCCTAACAGCTTGTACTGTCTCAAATGTACGTGTCTTTAAAATTATTTATAGCTGTCTATATTATTTACCTGTTAGCTGCCTATGTGACCTGTTATGATAGGTACTAAATTTAGTAATTTAGTGATCCAGAGTTCCAGCTGATCTAAAGCTTCAGTACATGGGCATATATTGCAAATGTACATTTGAACATTTTGTGTCTGCTTTTGATACATTAACCAGTTGATGTTTCTGATTAATTACATGTATCTATACATGCAACTTTGATATATAATAGAGATGAATTTTTTCCTTTATCTAAAGATTTGCTGAGAATGGAATTTGAACTATGTATTAGAACTTGCGCTTTGGGTGATATTTATGAAGAAGTTAGCATGAAGGAGGATTGTTAATTAAGACATCACTGCCATTAAATGTTATGAGCACTGTGGGAGTAATACATGCCATACCCTTCTCTTCTCCACCTACCAAAAATAAAACATACTTTGAAGATAATCTAAAAGTAAGTGAATGTGAATAGTAGCTACAATTTAAATTTCCTATGAATTGACTACACTTTCACATGTGGCAAAACCTTATGAGTAGACTGGTTTTTTTCAAATATTCAAAACAAAAAGGAGGGGTTAAAAAAAGCGAATATTGTGAGTTAGTTGTATATTTTGAGCAAAATTGAGTTATACTTAAAGTCAGCTCAGTCCTCATAACAAACTCAAAACATATTTTTGTTGTATTTTTGAGAGTTACAAGTTAAAAGTAATGTTTGGATATGATAATGTGAAGTAAAGATAAATGGCAACCATAATACTTAATTTTCTAGTAAAAATCACATGATCTTACAGCATTTTGTCTGCTGGTTAATTTCTCACATAGCTTATGGAGCAGGCAGTACTGAAACTCCCTCTTGGATGAAATCAGGTAATTCTAAGAGCAAGAAGGAAGCTTAGAGATCATCTGACACATTTGTTGTTTAAACTGTCAAGGAATGCAAAGATAAAACGTTTGTATCTGGATTATTGAGTTGTTGCATGTGTTTGCAGAAGAACAGGAAAAAGAATGACCAATGGCCAGAAGAGAAGTAGTATCTGAAAAACAGAGAAAGAATAATAGAAGGAAAATCAATGTAATCATACAAAACCAAAGCAGACTATAAATTTGGAAAAAAAGCATAAATAGTGGCTGGATTTGTTACTTGTTTAATATAAGCAATTGATATCTTAATACATATTATAGCTCTCATGTGAATGAAGCATGATAGTATTATGCAAGTGTTTGTCTGTATTTGGTTATTTCTTAGTAAAGTAGAACACGAATCCTAAATGTATTTTTCTTACAACTCTGCTGTCAAATAATAGGTTGGATGCAGTGACTCACACCTGTAATCCCAGCACTTTGGGAGGCTGAGGCAGGAGGATTACTAGAGGCCAGGTGTTCAAGACCAGCCTGGGCAACATAGCAAGATCCACTCTCTGGGGGGAAAAAATATTATTATTCATTTCCATTCTCAGTAGTAACAAAATGCTAATTAGCACTAAAATAAGTTACTGTGACTCTAGGTCCTGAGTAGAGGAACAGAATACATGGGAACCTGGTTTATGAAATTAGAGATTTATTTTTATGAATTTGGTGTTTTATTCTCAGTAATAGACTACCTATATACACAAGAACTGGGTGGAATCTGAAGAAGTATCTGGTCTTAGGGGTGGGAGCTCTTGGTCTTCCTATGTTTGTAACAGGTGAAGCTTTTGTCTTCCCTGGAGAATGAAAAAAACTAACCTCCCAGCCCCTTTTTTTTCCCTTTCACTTGATCGTTTCTGATTGTGAATACAACCAAGTTTTAAATAATTCTAGGTTTATTTAACCAGTATCTGATAATTATTTTCTGTGTTATTTGTTATACATATTACTGTGCTTTGTTTTAATAGTACCTTTAATTTCCCAGTAGGGAAGATAACTAAATTGTCTTAAAATTTCTTTGCAGATGAAGAAGGCAGCCAGGATGAATCCTTGGATTCCAAGGTGTGTACTAAAATTTATATTTTCTAGTTCAAAGCATAAACTATGTACCATAAAAAGGATATGAAATCTGTATCTTTTGAATAACAATTGAATTAAAAATAACAAAAATAGATGATAGCAGTATTAGTTCTAGTTCTTCTGGGGGAAAAAAATCACCGACCTGCAAGAGAGAATAGTAAATATTTCCATTAAGAGTGTTGACT